TCAAATTAGCCTGATTTAAAACATTACAAGCATTACACGCTTACAAGCTTCCCAGTTAATTTTACAATTAGCTTCCCAGTTAATTTTACAATTCTCCAGAGAGCTGGATTGGTTTATAGTGTTTCCTGCCTGAGCAGGGGTTGGAGTAGAAGACCTCTAAAGACCCTTCCAACTCTGTTATTCAGTTCTGGAATGATACTTAAACCAGACTGCTCATCTTTAGCACACAAGCAGGATATTCACATGAGTTACAGGCCCTGTCACGACAAAAATACTTACATTGGGTTTGCAACCTAATTTCTATACAATACCAAATGAATCTTAAAACTTAGGGAGATGTGGAGCCATCTCCTAAGTTAAGTAAAGAAGTTTGTCTCAAAGTTTGGCACAAGTTTTCATACTTACTATGACTCATCAGAAAAGCAAAGTGGACTCTTATCAAAAGCAAAGTGGACTCTTTCATACTCAAACAGGCTCCAAACCAAGTTCATGGAACTGTGTACCAACATACTCAATTACAAAAGAACTCCTAATGTCATCTTATTTTCAAGCATTACAAAAAAGCTCCTGTTTTATTGGAATAGGCCTGGAATATCACCACTGAAGTTCTCCAAGAAGCTTAAGAGACTTTTCAAACATTTCTTAAGCACCTCCAGAAAGAATATCCCTTGAAGCATTTTTACCGGGGGCCCTGCAGTACCTAAATGTTTTTTTTTTAACTTTCTGAACTTAGCAAAGGGTGGGTGGAGGAATGGGAGTGGGAGTCAAATTCTACTTCTTGTAATGGTTTTAAAAGGTATCCGAGCTGCCAATCCTGCAAGTACAAACTCTTCGGCATTTTCTTCATTGGGCGATGAATTCTCTCTCGCACCAGCCACGGATGTCAGCAGATCGGCTGCCAAAGACGTTGGGCGCCTTGAGGTCTCCCGGGGAAGGGGCGTTGCCATGCCAGCTTCTTCTTCTCCCCCGACCGCAGCTGTTGTTCTGTCCGCACACCTGTTACCTGCCCGGCCCGCGAAGGGAGATAAGACGGGGATGGCCGCCGGGCCGCTTCCCTCTGTCCCTCCCTCGTCCCCGTCCTCCCCGCTGCCCACCTTGATCCGCTTGCCCTGGATCTCCAGGCTCTTCATGGTGAAGTCCACGCCGATGGTGTTGCCCTGGCGCTCAGAGAAGGCCCCGGTCTTGAAGCGCTGCACCAGGCACGTCTTGCCCACGCTGGCATCGCCGATCAGCACCAGCTTGAAGAGGAAGTCGTAGTGCTCCTCCGGATCCGGCCCGGGAGGCGCCAACGGGGAGCTGGGCATGACCGCGGCGCTGCTCACCCCGCGGCTGCCCGACGCAGGTCCCCTCGCTCCCCTTTGGCAGCCGCAGCGCCGGCCTCAGCATCCTTCCCCGCCCGCCTTCCTCTGCCAGGCCGAGGCAGTGGGCATGCGCGGCGGGAGCCTGCGTCCTCCTCCCCCCCCCCTCTCGCCCCCACGCGCCAGGCGTCGAGGGTGGGGCAAAAGTGCAGGGCAGGATTCCCCTCGCGCTTAATGGGCGGGCTTAGTGGAGGAAAGTCTTTAACCCCCCTGGCTTGGAGGGCGAGGTCGCCCATGACGATGGCCGGATTTCCGTGTTACGTTATCTCTCTGGTTGCCCTGAGCAGGAAGCGCGCCTAGAGAAACTCCTTCTCTCCCTGTGGGGGTGTCTGCTGTGCACCTTGAACCTTGATCGCTAAATTCCCTAGAATTAGACGCAATGTTTGCTTTACGTGTAATGGTTGACATAGTGCACTTAGAACGGAAAGCCAGAAGAATACTCGAAATAAACAAAAACTGAGCTCCTTGGAGGCAGTCATAAAATGCATTGGTCTTTAAAGGTAAAGATTCCCCTCACACATATGAGCTAGTAGTTCCCAACTCTAGGAGGCGGTGCTCATCTCTGTTTCAAAGTGGAAGAGCCAGCACTGTCCGAAGACATCTCCTGGTCATGTGGCCGGCATGACTAAATACCGAAGGCTCCGGAACGCTGTTACCTTCCCATCAAAGTGGTTCCTATTTTTCTACTTCATTTTTACCTGCTTTCGAACTGCTAGGTTGGCAGAAGCAGGGACAAGTAACCGGAGCTCACTCCGTTACGCGGCGCTAGGGATCCAAACCGCCGAACTGCCAACCATTCTGATCAACAAGCTCAGCGTCTTAGCCATTGAGCCACCGTGTCCATTATGTATTGGTCTTTAGGGTGCAGCAAAACTAATCGATCACAGTGAGGGTGGGCAAAAAAAAAAAAGCATCTCTCCAAGCTTCAGGTTGCTTAGCTGTTCTTTCTGTCATAGAGAGAACCTTTGCCAGGATCACAAGATCTGTGCTCTACTTGTATGCTGCTATTGTTTATTGAGGTGCATCCTTCTTCAGTATGAAAAAAAGATATGTGTGTCTGTGTATCTGCATGTTTACAAATATGTGTGTGGTCATACTTGGATTACAAAACTCTGGACCACCACTAGAAAGCAGCCAGGACTTTTCTGTATCTCTTGCATAGCTCTAGCAATAGTGTGGCTTTTGAGCTCAAATACAGTATCCATGAGCTTCAAATTTGATTAAAATACTAATTTCAGAAACAGTGCCTAGCCAAGACAGCAAATTTGTCAATAAAAGGAAAAAATACTGATTCTGCTATGCAATAAATTGTGCTGTAAATTATCTTACATTTTCCTTCATAAAATGACGATATCCAAATCTCTAAGCCACAATAGATTACTCAGCAAGAAACACATCTATGGCTTCCAATCTTTCTTGAGTGGAAAGTTAGATGTACCATATTTTTTCTTTTCAGTTTTTATAGAATTATTCTTCAAATTAATCCTTATTTATCAAAACAATTCTGAAGTTTTCCCTGGTGTAATCATTTGCCATTATTGTTTATGACAAATGTTTTGCAATTAACTTTAAAAGTGAACACAAAGTATAGCTGTGGACATTAATAAATACATTCCCATATTCCATTCAGTACATGTACAATTGATCTGGTCATATAATTATGCCAGTTCCATGCACAGCGTTCAACTTATGCATACTGTCAATAAACTGTTGACTTGTATGTTACGTAAGATTAGTGATTACAAATGTATAAACTCTCCTCAAGCTTTGTAAAATGGGCATAAGTAAAACAATGGGCTTTGGCCTCCCTTCTCAATCCTTGAGAGTTTGGTTAGCATGATTTATAATAAAAATGTGATCATATACAATGGAATGAAAACCCTCCAAAGAATTGTGATCTTAATATATGAACATCTCCAAAGGAAAATCGGAGGTGGTTAAAAGCTAGATCTGCTCTGCATATTTAAAATATGAGTTACGGGCTACTTAACATTCTAAAATATTAAGTATTGAATGAAAATAGGAATGGGTACAGTATGTATATTTTTACTGGGATTTTGAGGTAATATTTGATTACTGTAGACATATCAGTATCTGACAGAATATTGTGACTTTTGTATTGTAACTACAATTCACAGTGCTGATAAATGTTGCCTTTTAGACTTTATATTTCCTATACACAGAATGTGTCACTCTCTGAAGAATATGTAGAAAAATGCCCATATTTCCTGAAGTATTTCATTTTCAAATATTAAGTGCTTTGAGCCTATACTTTAAAAAGGGTTCAAAAAACATAGCACATGTAAATGGAATTTAGCTGGGTTGAAAAATCTATTGAAAACCACTATATCATTAGTTTTATCTTTTTTACTAAAGCAGACCTATATGCTTTTCTGTGACCGCATTGTAACATTTGATGGGGTTGTATTATACTAATAAGTGAAGTATTATATAATTTAACTAACAAGATCTTCCTCCCAAGGAGTGCAGTCTGTTGCCTTCCTTTATTTCCCGAAGCATTGCCAAGCATGTTAATTTTTCCTCATCCATTATCTGCCTGTATTTCATACCCCCAAAAATGTGAGTTTCTGCTTGATGATTATTGTCTCAAGGGAGCAGTCAGTATTATTTAGTTTAGGGCTAATTGATTTTTTTCTTTTCTATCTATAGCATTCCTAATGGCCATCCCCAAATTTATTATTCGAAATCATCTATCTTTTATCTTTTACTCTTACTCAGTATCCAAGTTTTGCAGTCATTTCTTTAATTGGAAAGTCCATTGTTTTAATTCTTCTTCCTTTCTTTTGGTCACTGAAATGCCATTCCATTTAAACTCTGTCTAAATTGTTCATTACCAATTTTCTTATGATTAATTTTGTCTTTCCTCTTCTTTCACAACATCGTTTGAAAGTCACTGGATCTTTTAAAAACTATTTAAATATTTTTTTATCCCCCCCTGCTTTTCTTTTTTTTGAAATATTTTATCTGTAGCTTCAGTTAAACGTAGTAAATAATTTCCCTATATATATTCTTTATTCTGATAGTGTTATATCCTTTAATAAAGACATCTGTCAGGGAAAAGAGACATTGTTCATCTTTCTCAACTTCAGTTATTTTCACACAGCAAAAGGAAATAATACATCCCTCCTTTACCTTATATTGCATAGCTTTTGCTGTGACCCAGCATAACAGATATAGTGCCCTTGCTGACCCTAATGGAGACACTAAAGAGACAGGTCAAGGTAGTTGTGATAATGATGACTCAAATAAGCGGGGGATCATGGTCCAAAATGAAAAACTTACTTCGGAAAGGCAAAATGGGGAACCAGGTATCACACATCAGTCGCACAAGAAGAGCAAGGTATGCAAAAAGAGAAGTCACCCTTCTGGTTGCTTATTCAATCATAAGGGATGTAAATTTAGGAAAGGATATGAAAGTTTTAAAAGAGGTCAGGTGTCTGCCAGGTGCTACTGCCAGCAGAGACAAGAGACAAGAGGCGTATTTTTAAGATAGTCAAGAATGCAAGTAAGGACTGTGATGTTGATGCTATTATACATCTTGGCACAAATGCCAAAAAGATGTACTTTCTATGAAGAATGATTTCCAGAGCTTGGGGTATGAACTTAGTAGTATANTATGTATGTATGTATGTATGTATGTGTGTATATATATATGTTTTGTGGATTCTTTTTTATACTTTCTAATGATCTTGCTATGCTGAAACCCCACAGGCCTCTCCCTTCTAGAAATAAATATTCTTAAGAATGCAAATGATGAAAGACATCAAACTTTATGCTGCATTTTATTTTAAAAGAAACTGATTTAAATTTGTTTTGAAGTTTTAATAACTGAAAATGGAGCTGATATACTCTCATACAGAAATGATTAAAAGGTAGTACCCATCAAATTCCTCGTGCAGGATTTTACCAGAACCTCAGCATTTTAGAAAGGGGTTACCTATGGCTTGAAAAGTGTATGGATGCCTGATATAAGTGTATGGATGCCTGATATAAAAGCTAATATATGAGGAGATGAATTTAGGAACTGTGCTTAGTTCAATCAATCATGCTAAGACCATTCATTTTTTTCCCTTTCATTTTCATGGCTCAACTGAAGAAATTTAAATTACATAATATTAATTATTTTGGATTCACAGTACAAAATCAACCATTTCTGTTTAATGCCAATGTTCTGTTAGTACTCATTGTTAACTACTGCTTAGGAATCAAAGGCTGGATACAATAAACCTGAAGAAATCTGGTATAAAATAGTATTTAGAAGCAGCATCTCTCAGGCATTCTCTCTTTTCTATGGAAACATAATTACAAAACTACATCTAACTGAAATTAAGGCCCCTTTCTTCTTTACCTTATAAAACATTCAACTCTAAAGCTACTATTCTGAAATTACAATAAAAACATTCATCAGGATAATCACTGGAATCAAAATTCGAGTAGTAAGGTAAATATTATAGCCAGATGCTTTATACTGCACAAAATTAAAACAGGTTCAAATGTTTTAACTTTCTCATACTGATCTCCTAAAAGCAGTCTCTCAAACTAGAGTTATCCTAATCTCTGCTAACTGAACTGAAACTTGTTTCCAATCATAAAACGCTAAGTATTTTCCTAAAATAGGTTAGACAAATGCATTGGGAATATTCACAAGTTTGAAAGCATATTATGTTAGTTTCACATTTGAGCTTTTAAAAATAAGAAATCTTAAAAAAAAAAATCAGATGGGTTAGAAAGCCTATGGGTACTCAGGGAGGTATTCATGGCCATAATAGTACCATTGTATCAAACCCGTTTTAACATAATTGACTGCAAGGATTTCATTCAAAATCTTTGATTCTCAGACAGGTGCATAGGGCCCATTATAAATAATATTGGACACTGGAAAAGTTGCTTGGAAGATTTGCAGTCATTATAATTATTCTTCATTTCCCAGTTTAAGGTGCTCTAAAAAGGCAATTGTTATTAATATCTGCACTTCTAAACCACTGGCCAATGTAAATAAAGATATTTATCTTAAATTAACAAAATAGAAATAGTTCAGCAGTTTTTGAATAATAAGATTGCAGACTCTTTTAATATATGCTAGTGATTTGTCCTGAAAAAAAAATAGCATGAAGCTAATTTGAAGATTGTGTCATAGCATGATGGAAGAAATCAGGAACAGAAGGAATGGGTAAGGACCGAACAGTAGGAAACTAGGGCCTATGATATAAGAAAAGTATCTTATAAAATTAGCAAATATGCCTCATAATGATGGTCTTACAAAACAAAGCAACTGTTCGATGATTTTTAGAGCTCTGTACCATGAGTGGTCAGTTTAGGAAAATGACCAATTATCTCCTACATATAATTCAATATTTACCATATACTTATTAACAACTTCTTAATACCACTGACCAGGGAAAGTTCAAATAGAGTCAAGTCGATAATTATTGAAAGTACCGAGAAATGGGGGGAGGGGGGAAATCCTCTAGCTGGGATAATTTGTAATATGCTCAATGGTAATGAAAGAAGAAAAGGTTAGGATTGAAGGGAAAGATATTCAAATAAACTATTTCTCTGAAGTATGAGAACTATACTGAAATTAATGAAGACAAGAATCACCAATCTATAGTATTAACTATAAGGAATCTATATCAATTGTGCAAAATAAACTATTAAATCTATCTTAATTTATAATTTTCAGCCTATTTAAAATAAAGCCCTATACAGTTTCAAAGGCATTTACTACCCATGGAACTACTATCCAGTGAAATGTATTCAGGATCAAGTCTTCTGAAATGAAACGAAACAAAACCTCTATGTATTATACAATTGCTACTGCTTTCTCTATTTGAAAAAAACAACAACCAAGAGAGAAAAAATGCCTGCTTTGCACGTCTTGTACCAGCAGTATTAGTATCCAGGAAAGCACAATTTCATAATTTAGGAGGTTCAGCTGCTATATCCTATGCAGAAAATTGAGTATTTCATACTTGAAATATCCCTACAAAATTTACGTCACCATGTGTAAGTTTACTCCCCACCCGCACCCTGGAATGTGAAGAGTTGAAACAGGCAGTCTGAAAACCTGCTGCCATAAAAGGATTAAATGTCATCCAAGTTGATAAGTCCCTTACCAAGATGTCAGTGAATAGTAAAATAGCAGTTCTGCACTCAGACCATTTTGTATGAAGATATTTTAGTAGCTTCGCTCTGTGCAACTTACTGCCAAATTGCACTAATTCCTCTAAAAAAAAATATAGTAGAAATTGCTACAGAATGACTGCCACACAGTTTCAGATCTACATAAGAAAGTTCCTTCATATTAAAAACATGCTGCAAATGTCAGTCCCTTAACTTACAAAACACAAAGCTTGTGCAAAGTGTTTTATGTATAGAGGAAACCCAAAGTGTAGGAGAAAGAAGGGAATGTATCTAAATTCCAGTAACAATTAGAGAAATTGTATGATCAGCAGCCACAGCCCCACCCTTCTACCACATCCTTGCTGTCAAGTTTGATGCTGTCTGTGTTTTTCTCACTGAACACGGGGCCTCCATGTCTCATCATTAGCTCTGTGGCCATCTTTACAAAAGCTTCCTCCACATTGCTGGAGTCCTTTGCAGACGTCTCTATGGCACAGATGATATCATAGTGTTCAGCCAGACTCTGAGCCTCTTCTAGTTGAACCTCCCGAAGGTCACTTAGGTCAGACTTGTTTCCTAGCAGAAAACAGAATTGTTGATAAGATTAATTTTTAAATGTGGATTCTGGAGATTAGGGAAAATATTCAGTTGGGGGAGCCTAGGCAAAAAGACAATGGCAGGGATAGATAAAACTGTGTTGAAGGGCCTCAAAAGTAATACAGATAACCAGCCTAGAGATCAGATACTACAGTTACCGCGGAGATGAGAAAAAACATCTAATGAAATATCAGCATAGAGAGATAAAAATATAAAAAATAAATAGATAGATAAATCTGAGCCACTTGAAAGTATAACATTATTTTTTTTTGGATCCTGGATTTATAATTCTATCTCACTTTGATGTTGACAAACCCTGCATTTCAACATAATACTTCAATCTCAGAAAATGAGCTTTTTATCCCTTCCAATCTAGATGTTCCTGTATTAACAGGATATTACTTATGTTGTATTTAGTTATCTCTGGAACTAAAGACAATTAATTTTTATATTATATTTGTTCACTTTCTGCCAATTGTTACATCAGAAACCTGCCCAAAAGGGGCAGAGATACTGTATCTAACAGATGAAAAAGTTCAAATGTTATTTAAAGTATCCAATATCAGGTACATACTAGCCAAAAGGATCTCATTCTGAATAATCTGAAGGCCAATATTATGCATACTTTTCAACAGCTTAATACTCTGTGGGCCATCATGGCATAAGGATGGAACACGTCCCAACAAATAGGAAAGCATAAACTCACAAAGTGGCTTGACTTGGTCAAAATGTACTGTTAAATAAAGATTCTTAAGGTACAGAATACTGAAACAACCATAAAAGGCTGAAGTAAACAAAGTTAACTGTAGAAGAGCTTGAAAGTAATTTTTTTCCTGCTTCATCAATTATTATGGAGTAATTCAATCCAATCCAAAATGAGGAAAAAAAGTTTTTATTTTTGGAAATGAGGAAATGCCTGTGCACAAGTTTCTATTGTCTCCAAATCCAGAGGCATAATTCTTTTTTATTTCTGGCTTACCAAGTAGATCTTTCCACACTCACCAATTAGCAACTGTACTATATTGGAGCCTGCATATTTCCTCACATCCTCGATCCAGCGAGGAATGGACTGGAAAGAGCCTCTCTTACTAATGTCATAGGCGAGAATAGCTCCATTGGCGCTTCGATAGTAACTCTGGGTTATAGTCCGAAACCTTTCTTGACCAGCCGTGTCCCAGATCTGTAACTAAAGGAAATAAAAAAGAAGTAAGCCTGTAAGTTCTTCAGTCATAAGTTGTTGGTTGCACTCATCAGATGACCATTTCTTATGCCTACTGACTGAAAAACATCTAAACAGAGCACAAAATAATTTCACATCCAGTTGAATTACAATATATTATTGCTGGGTTGCCACAGCCAATATGCCCAATCTATTTGGTAAGGAAAATGTAGCAGCAAGTCTAAGAGAGATGGATAAGCAGCCAGGACTCTTCGGTTCCACCACAAAACCGCGGTAGACAAAAGTGCGCTCGACGATAGCGCGTACGTGTCGTCATCACCACGCGACAAAACCATCGCACTGTGATCAATAAATGTAAAAATAAAGGGA